AACTTGGCGATTTTTGCAATTTAAAGCTCAAACCCAGCCTCCAGCTCGGACATGAAAACTGGCAATCGCAAAAACTTAAACAGTGTTTAAAACACTCCTTCAGAGTGCTAAATTATTGCTCGTCTTTTGGTGCTTTTTGCATGGAATCTCGAAAACAGTTTATTTGAAAACGATTTGAATACAAAAATATTTTGCAGGCGCAAAAATGATTTGTGAGGTGAACGACCTCAAGCTACGTGCAGTCTTAAAGTTAGCGCGTCGCCGCGTGGTCGACATCAAAATCTTCTAAATCGTTTTAGATATAAATATAAACTCGCATTTGAATGATGGATTGTTTAACGTTAGGCTTAAAACTCCGCCTTACTTAATTTGCCACCTCATTAGTGCTTAGATACGGCTAAAAGGTTGAATATGACATAAGCTAAGTATATCAAAGACTCTCTAAGTATGAAGCTATCAACTCAGAAAAGTTTCAAAAAGTTGTAAAATTCGAAATTGTTCTGGAGGTTTTTGAAGTAAATGTAGCTGTAGAAGGAATCTATGTTATGTCTGTAGGGAATTAGCTTTTGATTCATAATACGCACCGATGAGCTTCGGAAAGCGCTTAAATTAGTAGCCATTGTTTCTTTGGTCATTAACAGTATTACTCAACGATACCACGAACATGCAGTAAATATCTCATTCGAACCAAGTAGTGTTTTTTAGTGGAGTTTTGATATTACAAGTAATATGTCTGACGAAGAGACCACGTTTGACAAGGACAAAAAACGTATAAAAGAGACGGTTGAACGAGTTAAAGGCACACTTAAARAACTACGCGATGCGAAATTRAAACAAGCAGAACAAGAGCAAGARCAAAAAGTTCCAACTCCAAYAAATCAATGCGAGGATAGTAGCGACGACAGCGGTTGGGACACRGAYCTCGAGTGCCCATCAGATTTAGAAGAACAACAGTCTTCTCGCCGACAAAGTTTTGATTTAGCAGGGAAAGCAGCGTACATTCGAGCATGTCGAAAACTTAATGTAACACCAATAACGTCGCTGTTACAAAATATCGAAAACAAAGAAATTTCTCTGGCGCACCAYGGCATTGGAGTCCAAGGAGCCAAGGCTTTGGCAAAAGCTCTAGTGAACAGCACAACTGTCGAGAGTGTAGACGTTGAAGAAAACGGYATTCAGGACGAAGGAGCAGAAAGCTTTGCGAAAATGCTAAGGGACAATTGTTACATCACTGGTATTAATTTAGCGGGCAATTCATTAAGTTCCCGWGGTGCAGTTGCCATGGGAAATGCTATGGCCGATAGCATCTACTTACGACGTCTTGATCTTTCTTTTAACAACTTCAGTGATAAAGATGCAGCTCCTTTGGCGTTTGGTTTAAAGAAAACAGTAACTTTAAAACATCTACGACTTAGTCATAAYACCTTCTGTGAGRTCGGTGGGGAACTTTTGGCACAGGGAATCGAGGTGAATGATACGCTTGAGACTTTAGACTTGAGCTGGAATCATCTTCGATTAAAAGGAGCCATTGCTATAAGCARGTCAATGATTGAAAACATTTCTATCAAAACCTTAGATCTTTCATGGAATGGATTTGCCGATGAAGGTAACGTACACTGAGYTCATTCAATATTAGAAAACCAATCTATGGTCAAGGTTGAATATGKTTTTTTATAATTTTTCTTTATTTCTTTTCTCAGGTGCCGCAGCCATGGGAGATGCTCTGAAAACCAACAACACTCTCCTCGAACTCGACCTCAGCCACAACAGAATCACAGAAAAAGGAGCTATAKCACTTGCAAAAGGACTGGAAAAGAACAAAACTCTGCGCGTACTTAARATGGGATTCAATCCWCTAGAAAGAGAAGGATCATTTGCTTTGATTAAAGCACTCAAGACAAATTTCGACTCAGAGATGGAAGAACTTCACTTAAACAACGTTAGAGTAGGAAAAGATTTCAAAGACGTCGTGGACGACTTTCTCGGTCACACAAAACTTACGATATCACTCAATTCTGCACCAGTTGACCAAGGAACTGCAGAAGCAAACAGCCGCAATAAAAGAGTGAAAGATGACCTGCTTCAAATCGTTAAGAATTTTCTCATCGAGAAAAGACTTCGGGCTATTGACCTGTTCAATCGTTTGGATAAAGACAAGTCCCATTCTATTTCTGGCGAGGAGATGTATAAGGGTTTGAAAGCTGTGAAAGTTCCGTTGAGTGACTTTCAGATCAACAAGCTSATTTTGTTACTTGACAAAGATGGGAACGGTGAAATTGACTATGCTGAGTTTTCTGTTGTAAACTATTGAACTTTTTAACTTAAGAAATGTTGTACAATTGATAGATTACAGCTTATTTTTACATTTTTTTTTAATTGTTAGCACTTCTTTGGACTTTTTTCTTAGATTTGGTAAAAAATCGCACAAAGATACTGGAAGAACTATATAACAACCCTAATTTTAAATTCGCGAGATTGAAAAAACACTTCCTTATTTACTCGTCATTTCATTTCAGAATTTCGTTACAGAATATGTTAGAGCCCTTGTTAGTAATGTGAAAATGTCAAATGACTTGATCGAATCGTTTCAACTTTGACTATGCGATTTTATCTTACTGTAAAAGCCAAGTGGGAAATAGTAGAGATATTGAACTTCAATCTCTGATCTGAATATAGAAAGTGAAGAGTATGAAATAAAATGAGTGTTCGTGCTGAATTTAATCGTAAGATTTTCCAATTTCTCGTTCTATGAATTCACGAAACTTTAAATATATTTTAAAACGGTCATTTTCTGTCCGAGATCACGTGAACACAGGGTTCCCAACGAACTAAAACTCAAAACTGTCTACTTTCCATCAAGCCTTGCATTGCTAATTCACCTTGACTGCTTGTCAGTTCTTTACAAATACATCYCTTGATCTGAGATTAGAGTACTCAGCACAAACGCTCTACTACTATTTACATTACTGAGAGCATTGACCAAATCTGATCAGTTGCTATGACAATGTCTCGGTATTAATCAGTCGAAGCGTACAAGGGTCAAACTCTACCATGTCCTTCATTAAATGTGAGCAAGGTTTCCATTTATGAGATTAATCMAACTCTTCTTTTTGGGAAAAGGAAAGCAACGAAAGCTGTYGGCGATAAAGATACCAGGTRTGTAGAAAATTACGTTTTTAATTCAGATATGGAATTTAGACACAACACTTATTGTATGGTATCATAGTCAAATAGACAAATAAAAATCACATCGATGCCTAGAAWCGACTAAATTTAGTACAATTCTAACGCCGAAAGTCGACTATGTGAATCACAGCGGTGGATTTCGCTACAGRAATAAAATAATTATCGAWACATCAATGTTAGCTGTTCGAGTTTGTACAAGAAGGTCGCGTGTTTGTTCAAGAGCAATGATAGTCCGATTCGTTTAAATTCAACAATTCTTAGTTCATATTCACTTAGTATTTCTATTTTATTAATTTAATCTATCTTATCAAACCCTTTGATTAGGGATATACTCTTTTGTGTTTTAAACAAAACCTAATTGGTTGTTTGTTACGAAGTCAGAACCCAGAACATCGTGAAATATGCTTTGAATTCGTAATCACCAGGTCTCCTTAGTAACGCATTCCCGACATTCGCATTTGTACGGAATATTGAAGGAGACCATCCGATATTCACAAGTGGCTGTTTAGTTTAAAAATTGCTTATACAAATAGCCAGGGATTTAAATTATCAGCGAATTATATTTAGACATTGATTTGTATGTAGATTGGGYACAAATTATCTTAACGAAAAACTGCGGAAAAAAAACCTTTAGTTCAAGCCACCATAAGTGCATTTTCRAGGGGTTTCTGTATTGTTTACAATAGACTTCTGAACCYTTCACATCACAACTTGACTTTCAATGCATTATGGGATCAGTTTCTAGAGAAAACAAAAGAAATCCGCCATGTTTTGTCCCAAACATATCCTACAATGCATTGCGTATACGGTACATGACGTAAAAGCTTCATAGGTTTATTTTCTTTTAACGATCCTAAGGCTAGATCTTCGGGGGACGGGGGTCCTAGGTCTAGACACTATCATGACTGCAAATTGTTATTTTCTTCACAGACGGATATTAAAGATAATTACAGAGTATAATGTCACTGAATATCCCTGGCACTTCTCGTGAAAGATCGGAAACTATTCAGCGTGTTGACAAGACATTGCGAGTTTTAAATTCTGGTGGTTTACGGGGACATCTTGGCCGAGGAAAGCTTAACGCTAACGTTACTGGTGCCGAGTCCGATAGCGAAAGCAGCGATGGGGACTGGGACACGGACTTAGAAGATAACGGAGTAAGTATTATAATCATCAGCATCATCATTGCATTATCATCATTAATAATCATTTTTCACCATTTAGGTTGTATATATAGTTAGAATTTGACATTGTCTCATTAATACTTATATCTAATTTCAGCCCAAGAATGACTATGACGCCACAGGAAGGAAAATGTACTTAAGAGCCTGCGATAAACTAGGAACCGTGCCAGCGTCCTACTTTGTACGTCACATGACTGAACCTGAAATGACCATGATGCATCACGGCCTTGGACCGGCAGGAGTTGAAGCAATTTCCCTTGCATTGATATACAACACAACAATCACAAGCCTTAATATTCGAGATAATGGCATTGGGGAAGCTGGTGGAGAAATCATGGCGAAATTGCTAAGAGAAAACTATTATATCACTGAACTGGACATTTCAGATAATCAAATTGGATCCAAAGGATGTTTCGAGATGTCTGAAACTCTGAGAATCAACGATACTTTAACCAAATTAAGCATGGCTGGTAATGAGCTACACGATAAAGACGCACAGGTTCTCGTACAAGCCCTTCGCACCAACTCAACGATAACTTATATTGACTTAAGTAATAACAAACTCTCAAATAAGTCATGTGAATATTTTGAAGAACTGCTTGACGAGAATTGCACTTTAACATACATGGACCTGAGTTGGAATCACATCCAAGTCGTCGGTGCAAAACATCTCGCAAACGGTCTATCCGGGAATATGAAGTTAAAGACTTTAAAATTAGCATGGAATGGGATAACTAATGAAGGGACTGTTGCCCTCTCCAAAGCGTTATCAGATAACAGAGTATTGACCGAGCTAGACTTAACAAGTAATCGAATAAGTGATCATAGTGTTTTTGTACTGTCTCGTGTATTAACCAACAATAACATAATGGAAGTGTTACTTCTTGCGAAAAATAACATCAGCGAAGAAGGCGCATGTTCAATACTTCATGCTATACTCAAGAACACAGAATCTAAAATGTCTAAGATTGATCTCAGGGGAGCTTTAATCAAAGACGACTTCCTTGCTTTATACAATGAAGTACAGTCACTCAAACCCGAGATTACTATAGTTACAGACCACGCCCCGGAGACACGCCCTCGACCTGAAACCCCCAATCCAGGGATGCTGCTAAGGAACTACCTCGCTAAAGAACACGTACGAATCGTTGACTTGTTCCGTAAGCTGGACCGCGATCAGAGTATGCAAGTTAGTGTTCGAGAGTTCGTGGACGGACTCAGGAAATCTGACGTCGGTTTGACGACTTTCGAGGTTGAGAAAATGATTGAGTGTTTGGACGCTGACAACGACGGCGAGATCGATTACAGTGAGTTTGTTTCTATTCAGAAYATGTGGCAAAAGCCAGATAATATGAACCTCAAGAACCGCAGAATGTCCAAAAGAGTGTGAATCATAAAGSAAAGATATTATTAAAATAATATTAGAAACCATTTTATTATTGTATTAGTAAACAGAATATACATAGTATCTTGTGATTTTATATTATACAATATTATTATCATTGAATTATCTCGTACCTTTTTGCCTGATAACAACTATATCTAATCACCAGTCCTTCGTGCATTCTCGTTAACACAGGTAACCCAGTGTGTTCTATTGTATTGCAACAGGATTATCTTGTATTATCCAATTGACAATGTCTTGTAATAAATTCATCTTGTAATGCCTACAACGACAGTACATATACATTCAAGTAAAAAGGAAATGCTCATAGTAAGGGTATGAAGAAGCCTAATACCCAACTAGTAAGCGTTCCTTGAAAGCGCGAGCGGGTCCTGGGACGACAGTCAGCCCGTGACGTCATGTAAGTCTAGAAGTGAGGAACGGCTGTAGGATAGTCGGGGTGGGGGAGGTTTTTAAATGGTGAAAGTTTTTAAATGTAAAGTTGAATGAACAGTAGGAGGGATTTTTTTCTCACACAAGCCATCAAACCATATTATTCCTACTCACTTTGCTATATTTCTAAACGTCCTCATTTTTTCGGCGAATTCAGCTGCTGGGGCAGTAAGGGTAAAGTTACTTCCACATTTACAATACTTCGACATATTGGTGTCCTTTATCTGCAAAATAAATAAAACAACGCATTAAAAACAATCAAATACGTCCGTGGTGTTCAAATTTCAAACAAACCAAACACATCCATTCAAAAGATATTTTATCGGTACACTTACCCCACAACATTTAGAGCATTTAAGATCCTGCAGGACATGGGCCATCGATCGTTTTTGTAAAGCAGTGATAAGTTGATGTTCAATGGCATCCATGTTGTATTCATTTTGACAGTTGGGACAATAGCAACTGGCTCTGGAGAACAAATTAATAAATGCTTTAAAAAACATTTGTAAACTATTATTGCTGAGTGTGTATTACCAATAACCCATCATTTGCAATATTAGAGGGATAATGGATATACAACACAAAAGACTACCAAGAAGGAATTAATTACAAAATTCTTCGAAAGGTATCAAGGACCACACCTTGTTTTTTTCTCATAAAATCTAATGAGTAGGATTGAGGCTAGGCGCATTTTCTGGAATTGAAACTGTAAATCAAGTGATCGAGTGATGTGATGACTACGTTCTGCTTGCGCCAATCTCCTCCGGTACCAACTCCAAGCGAGCCCACGTTAGTGCACTTTTATAGAAAGAGCGCCTGATGTATTGACGAAAGCGGCTTATAAACATTTATTTAACATTAACAAGAGAAAATGAGGTAAGAGAAGGAATCCCTGGTACCCATCATATCAGCCCTTCGTTCTATTTTTACAAAAAGAGCTATTTTTAGTTTGTTACCAAGCCCGCGCGACCACTATTCGTTTATCGGAATTTGATATCGGCTATTTTTCATCGCCAAAAACTGAATGTCAAATACTGTTCGAGAAAATTAAAGCTACGAAATTCGCTTTTAAAAAGGAAACTTCTTGAAGAAGAAAAGGAATCTTCTTCAAAACAAAGAAAACTTGAAAGTGTCGAAGAAGAATCTGAAGGTAATTCTGAAGGTAATGTGACATGAAATTAGATCGACAATCTGACCTTTGAATTCTCTGACCTCTCGAGCAGTAATATTTAACCTGGAATAGATAATTTATAAGACGCATAATTTACATTTGTAGATTCAACACGCCAAAGGATCTGACGATCTGACCAATCATGTTCCATTTCTAAAAATAGCTCTTTTTCTAAAAATAGAACGAAGGGCTGATATGATGGGTTAAGAACGCAGTACCAGGGATTCCTTCTCTTACCTCATTTTCTCTTGACATTAAAGAGAAGAGCAAGATGAATGAATACTCACGAGTTGTTTCCCTCGGATGGCACGATGAACGGGTCTCGACAAAGATCCAAGTCACGACATGCATTACAGAACTGACAAATTACCTACAAAACATCAATAAATGTTAAAAAAATGTACATATCTTAAATGACTACACCAATTAATATCTTTAAGCAATTGCATGACGAATCTGATAAATTCAYTACAGCATTTTTCGTGCTCTAGAACTGACGCCTAAGGCGGAGAAGAGAAGGAGATCCCCGTCAAAAGACAATCACGTTGTCCACGAAAGAGGCGAGCAAGTATTAAATACAAAATGCTTCATTAAAAACACAACTTACTTCAGGCAAAACAAACGACAAACATGGATCCTGGAAGTTYGCTTCGGGTGAAAATTCTCCAACACCAATGAGCTTGAGAAGATCGCGTCTGTTAAAGGCAAATGGCAATATTAATACAAATATTACAATATCGTCCATAAATATAGAATTGAATAGTTCAAATAATGACCTTATTTAACCTTATATAAAGCACTKATGTTTTATTCATCAGGGTCACTTATCATTTATCGATATGCATTTTATAAACAGTCCTATTGTTTCAATGAACAATAAAGAGCTAGTAGTTGCGCGAAGGATATATCACTATACATTGGAAAACCTACAGTAACAAAGGTACAAAAGTAAACTCTGATAAAGCCGCTCATCTTGTACGCTTTTATCAAGCCTTTAAGTAGTATCTTAGACTGAGAATTAGACTATTAAGATACTGAATAAATAAAAGGTAAGATTGTATCATGAAGTTCTTCTTTTCAAATGTACCTTAATTTGTTAACTTGGTGTTGAGTATTTGAATCCAGAGACAAAACCTTGATGTAAAGAAGCGAAGACAGATTAGTCGTGACTTTTGCATAGGTGTTCAACTTAGGAGAAAATTGAATATAATAGAAACCGAMGATTTACCTTAYAAATATACTTGACAAATTCAAGTGCTGGGTTGTTCAATGGTAGATAGGATCCAGGTAATATAGGAAACTCTGCACTAGGGTCTTTATGAGAAGATCTGTCACCAGACAACGTGTGCTGAATCTTTTGGGTTATTCTAAAAAAAKATCCATAAATTATAAAGATCTGTAAGAGAAGTGATAGAATTTCCTAATCTCAAGGGATTTTGCTTACGAGAAAAGGTGTTGAGTAAGTTCCCCCTGAATTCGCTCTTGTGCAAAAGAGACGAGGCTTGGTGTTGCAGATGATTGCACTGTCTTCTGGGATTGACTGCTTCCCCCTCGCCGTCGTATTGGTGTAGTACCTGGCTGGATGATACGGCGCTCCTCGAGTGAATGTTTATACATGGCGTGAATATGACCAGCAACTACGATCTGGAAAGTCGAAATAAATAGATAAATACATGAATAAATGTGTGAATGGTCAGTCAGTCTGAATCAATCAGTCAATTGATCAATCAATCAATCAATCACTCGACTCAATCAACAAAGGAACAAAGGAACAACAAATTTCATCACAATACCTGGAAAAAGTCTTGACAAGATGCACCAGAAGGAAGRTACTTTCCAATATTCCAGTTCATTTCAATTTGAGACTGCAATGGATAACGACAATATCATATATTGAAAACAAAAAAATAGAAGACATGAATAAAAACGAACAATTGATCATTCATCACCTCTTCGTCCTTATTATTGTTGTTTTCTGGAGTGCCRGCAATCTCGTCATCACTGTCCTCATCAATGTGTCCATTCTCASCAATTGCTTCAGGTAGTTTCCCGCGCACCCCACCGTGATTGGCCTGGTAAATAGCAGAGAGACAAGACCACACTATCAGTAGTCTACCACAAAGACTGGTTTTGTGTCAAGGAACTCCCCGCAAAGCRAAACGGCATAAAACAATGCAAAACTTTTCGATGTGAAATGATAGATGTTTGAAGTAGGCGTGCGTAGCGAGGGAGCGCTGAGTTACTGCAACGAAACATGCAAGGGAGACTGCAATAACAGGAAGGGACTAGGATTGAGTTGGAAGGCTTTCTTTCGCAGTAATTCTYCCTTCTCTGCCAAAATACTAAAAAAACATGCGCATGTCACGTGAATTACCTGATCAAGCCACATCAGATATTCCCAGCATGCAGCGGGCACTATGTCGATACTGTGGAACAAGTCCTTCGACTGAATACTCTTCAAAATAAACTCCACATATGCTAAGGCATCGGGAACACTGAAACGAAAACGCCACGGAAATAATCAAGATTTCGTAGCTACGTAAAAACTAAGAAAGAGAGAAAGAAAAGAAAGAAAGGGAAGAGAGAAAGAAAAGAAATTGATTTGATGGGAAATCTCAATTCAGTGGTTTGTTGGTTCTTACCTTCTCTTCTTTGTACAAATAATTATCTTACTAAAACTAGCATACACCATTGTCGACCCAAGTCGTTTAAACTCTCCAACAAGCTGCCAAAATACACAATCCATTAAGAAAACAGCTTAATAAACTGAGAAATTACTCAACAGTGTAGCTTCTCTCGAAAGTTCGGAGGAAGAGAAAGGGGTGGGGAAGAAGGGATAGTGAAAACTGCCCTACCTGCAAAAACAGTTTTTTCATCATTCGTTGTACCATTCGGCACAATGCAGGGTCGTATAAGAGAGAATTTGGAGAAGACAGCCACCTGAAAAATGGAAAAAAAATCAATCAATCAATCAATCAATCAATCAATCAATCAATCAATCAATCAATCAATCAATCAATCAATCAATCAATCAAAAATAAATAAATCAAAAATAAATAAATCAAACAATCAGTCAAACAAACATCGTTAGAAAATACATAAGGCACAACCCGACGTCATCTGTACTCCATAAGAAGATAATTGAATATTTCTTCACTGTAATGATTACCTGTAGAAGTGCATAAGCTGTGCATCAGCGTACTGGTTCTGATAGGCAGATACTTCATGTAACCAGCTATGAATCATACCTTTCAGGATCCTTTTTGAGTAAAAATAACAAGTATCACATTAATGCAAGAATCCTACGAAAAKGAATAAAAATTAARCCAAGYAMTAGCAWKWWTWTTAWTACCTRAAAGCAGAAGAGCAYAATGCAGCCTCGTCGTAGGTTGTAAGACCAGAAGATGATTGCCCTCCTTGAACAAGTTCTTCTAATGAAGCCTTTATGAAACAATACATAAGTGAATTAGTCCATGTGACTTTGGTTAGGTTATTCAAGATGACAGACACTTCTTTATAGATATGACTATGACTTCTTTATAGATATGACTAATATTGTACCTGTTGTATGTTATCAAAGCTGATTCCTGTACCAGACGCTCCTTCAAAATCATTGATATGTGCAGACTAAACAAGGAAGGACAAAATATTTAACAAGTACATGTAAAGAAACAAGCAAAACAAATTAATAATACAGAAAACACGCACAAAATAAAGAAGCAAAAAAAGTACAAACAAGAAAAGAAAAAAAAAGAAAAAAAAAACACTCATAATCAACTAAAACTTCTTGAAAAAATCTGCCAGGAAATAGCAGAAAATATCAGCAATARGACACTTTAAACAATATGAATTGCGGTACCTGTAGGATAGTGTTCACAGCTAAGCCATCAATAGARAGCTCTACACATACTGTAGGATAACAGCCTGGGCTATTAAACTCCATGGAGCCGGCTTCATCAGTCATTAAGCTTAACCTGARATATATTCACAAATTGTATACACTTGTTAACCTATTTCAAAAAAAGATTGCTGGATAATATAGCAAAAGCAATTATCAGAAGATTGCATGACTGAGAAGAGCCATGCGTTTTGCTAATATATGATGAGAAATAATAACTAGTCTGTGGTAAACAATGACTCCATTTGTTCTCCATTTTCATGCAAAATGAGTGAAATTTTGCATGTCATGAACTCTTTACTCGACAAAGGATTAACGTCCGAAACGTCAGTAAGTTATTTCACCTACTTTTTTAAGGTGTTAAATTTATCTTTTTACACAAGCATAACCACAGTCCCTTTTAAGACTTTTACATAATACACATAGTTCACCTGTTATCATCATCTTCTTTTCCTCCCAAGTCAGGTCTGTTTGTGGGYGACATCCATAATAAATGACCATGTTTTTGTAAGTGACGTGAATAGAAAACGTCGGCAGCAAATAGTGTAGCATCCATAGGTATATTACCAACTGGTATATGGAAATAACGAGCATTGTCTAACTGTGCCTACAATATTGATGCATTTAATAAAATAATAATTATTGATAGTGATGGTATTCAATTAATATTGTTATTGTTGTTGATGCTTCTGCTGCTGTTTCTCTTGTCATTATTGCTGCCATTTTAACTGATGTTGTCTTGTTGTTGTTGCTCTTGTTCTGGTTGTTGYARTTATAGTTGTAGTTGCTGTTCTATTGTTGTTGCTAGTGTTGTTACATTTGTTGCTGCTGTTGTCATTATTGCTGTTGCTGTTTTTGCTGGTGTCTTGTTCTTGTTCTACTTGTTGCAGTTATTGTTGCTCTTGTTGATTATGTTGTTGTTATTGTTGTTGCTAGTATTGTCACTTTTGCTGTTGCCGATGTCATTGATGTTGTTGTGGCTACTGTTTTGTTGTTTTTGACACTGTTATCATTACCAGCATCATTCTGAGATAGCATTATCAATTAAAACTCAAATATTGCTGCCTTATTATAACATACCTGAAAAAATACATCAATCTCCAAATAATGKGATATCATCCGCCTTGATGCATGCCGTTGCCAATCAAGGAGATTATACTGTGCATCACTAAAACAAACAGAACACAATGAGGCAAAGAAAATGTTTTAGTGATCAAAATGACAGTTTACAAATCACTGTCCTGTATGTCATTAGCTACCTGTTGCTGTATGGAAGTGGTACAAGTGGRAAATCATTCAAAGCTGGTATTGATGATGTCAAATGGCTTAAATCTGWTGACAATACAAGAAAATCCTTCATTCAATACAAAATAACAATGAACAAGCTTCATTGTGTCAAAACGTGTACCCATTGATGACTGGATCAAGACCATTGTTGGTCCATTCTTTTCTTCCCTATAAACCTGAAGATACCTTTGAACACCTTTGAACATCTGTAAATAGAAAAACGTTTTTTTTTTAAAAAAATAGGTCTTGAAATTAAAGGAAGACAGCAAAAACTGTTTCTCCATTTTTTGTTTAAGTAATTGCTTACCTGTTTAGGATTGGTCTCAACGCGTACTTCAAAGGTGTGATTCTCTGGAGGAAGAGGTAGAGCTTCCCCTTCTGAGCTTTTTTCCCTGATGAATAACAGAATATTTTAAAATCTTGATCACTTCACATTTCTTGCATATAATTGTCTCTCAGATAAAGAGCACGTGATAGTCAGAAAACCAAGTACTATTAATTTTATATACTATTCTAAGATGAAGCCTTACTTGTTTGCCCTTTCTGCATTGTACARTGACGTTAGGTTTGGCATTTGATTGTTACGCACAGTGTCCAGAACAAAGACTGAAACCTATGGATAAAAACAAGATCAAAGAAGTTATAGATATATTGTGTGCTCTATGGCTGATAATTGTGCATGTTGTGTTATTGGTGATAACGACAATCATGCTACATCAGTGCCAATGCTGTTATTGTTGTCTTTCAGTTGAGCCACAATACTGACCTTTTTTGCAGCTGGTACAAATACTCCAATCATACCACGATTATCCCTGACAGAAAATAACAAAAACCAATTCAGTAAAAACTCACAAAAAAAAAACCTCAAAATAAAAGAACTTACGATTGACTATAATACAGGTAGACAGTCTTCAAGCTGTAGTTGTCAAGGTAAGAGCATTCTGCTAAGGTTTTAAACTCTAGCTGATCAAGCTCAAAGACATCTAAATCCTGAAAAATAAAAAATGATAAAAATGTTAAAGAATACTATTTTCTTTACATATTATTGTTATGATGACCAATCACTATTAACATTTGTTGTAGTGAGAATTGCTGTTATTGTACTTTCTTGTACTACTGCAGAGGTAAAATATCTTGTTGTTGTTGAAACTTCTCAATCTTCTTATTTTTCATGATAATTATTGTTTGTACAATGTAGCTGTTTTGCTTGTCTTGGCAAATAAAAAGTATACTCACCCTTCCATTRCTGATCTTGGCAAAAGTTTTGTTTACAGATGTTACACAACCAAGTTTGATCAAAGCTCTGGTTAGCAATGGAACCTTAAAAATAATATGTTAGAATTAATCACAAATTTAACTGAAAAACTAATAACAACTTATATCATTCTACCTGAGACTCGTAAACGCCTTCAATGTTGGGTGATGACAAATCAGTAGCAAGTTCACTAGAGATTAAGACAAGAAAAGAACACCATTATTTGCCTGCAATACATGTATGCGGATTATCACAGGTCTATTTACCACAAGTCAATACAACCACAGTAAGGAAAAACAACAAGAAAACATCAAAGTAAGAAAAATCTTGATGCACAAAGGACAAAGACAAACTTGAACTGCACAAGCTGTTAATCAAGTACCTTGAATGCTCTCTRTAAATGTCTTCTGGCACAGAATATTCATACAGATTGATTGCTGCATGTGATCTAGGTAACGTCTTTGAAACAGGACGCCATGCTATCAAATAAAAAACATTCACAGGCATTTGAGTGCACCATATCAAGTGTCTGGTGAAAATTGTAGTACTTGCTTAAGTTCTTTTGTTACTTACTAGCTCCTTCCCCTTCGCGAGGTGTTCTGCAGTTGACATAGAATATTCKTGGAATGTTGACTTTGACCGAGTGGAGGTCGGAACCTATCAAAGCCCASACTTTGAACAGACCTGGAGARCCTGTTTCTGCAATCTTAAACCATATGACAGTAGTTACTTTATGAACTGAATGGATCGATGTTCACAGAAATCTTGTAATGAATTATCGGAAGGAAGACAGAAGAGAAGATCCCTTGAGAAAAGAAACTGAAGAATTACTTTACAATTCCTGCCATGAAAATACCTGGACAATCTGCCATGGTGTATTCAACAATGATCTGGCCTGCTGTCTGATAAAGGTTGTCATCCCTGTGTTGGATCCTCCACGAGGACCTATTGTCACTCCCATGCTACTGGCTTCCTTTCGCAGCCTCTTTCTTTCAGCTCTTTGTTTAGCCTGGTATTCCCATTTTTTCTTTTGAAAGTCAACCCATGCTTCCTTATCCTCCTAGAATAACAAACATTATAAAAGTTGGCAAATCTTATGAAAAAACATAGCATCATGCTTGAAAATCCTATGTTAGACTGGCTACAAAAAGAAAAAATATCGCAGTCTGAATTGACCCTAGTATTCTGGGTTCTTTTATCCTTCCCCTTTATTAATTACATTCCAATACATCATCAAATGAGTCTTTGACTAGACATTTAATAATTCAAATTTAATGAACAATATCTGACCTTTAAAGGTCCCCAACTGGGAGGTTCTCCAAGCACATCCCTCCATGACTTTGTCAGATCAACAGCATCACMACCTCGTTTATTAGCTCTCCTGTCAATAGTCCTYGAGTCAGCTTCCATTTGGTCCCKCTTTCTCTTAGTAGCCATTGGTTTGAGGGTGCCGTTTGGTCTTGAACCACAACCAAAGTCTTCAATATCATGAATTTGACTGGATGATTGAGTTAAACTAAGSCTGTCTTCTTCCTGTACCTTCAAACAACAKATGACAAAGAATTTTTAGCATAAAATATGACAGTAAAGATGGTTTYAGGTAGATTTTTGAGKTTTACCACTTTCTTTGGGACTTTAGAAAACATTTCACTGATCTTCTGTTGCTTGAAGACATCATTCTTCTCCAAAAGTCTCTTATGAAGCCATGGTGGATGCAAGCAGCGAGGTACAGGATTGCTAACCTAATAGAGAACATTGCGAATTGATTTCAAACTCAAAATCTGCTGTCACTTGTAAAGAAAAAAAAAATGGCACAGGATTCATTCAGATATTTATAGACTGCAACATCTACAATGACAGAGGTAAAGCGGATAAGTGTCTGAGTGATTGAAGTAGGTGTCTGTGTCCCAAACAATTTACAGTCATAATTATTAAGTATGACACAAAATTACTGGCGGTAAGAGTCAAAATAGCTGCAGCTGCCTATCATTGAAACCCCTGTCAAAAATGACTGCATTTAACAATGTCCTCAATGAATATTCTCATTACTCACCCCTTGCAATGCTGCAGGTATAGTTATTATCTTCTGTATGGCACTATTTAATCTTTCAATGTAATACTGCCAGTCTAGAATGTTTCTGATATCAAAATCTACCATYGAYGAATCCTTCAGCCAYCGCCTCAAATAATGCTTTCTTACTCCATCCTCTGTTTGGAAAATCGCCAAAGGAACGGCTCTTTCTGTAACAGGGGAGCCTTCTGGYTTCCTTGATATGATAAACTTACAACTCAGACCTTTATCTTTAACCATTTGATCACCTAGAAACTCAGCAAGTCGTTTAGCAGTGCTGATGGAGGTGGATTTTTGTGCTCCATATTCTTCCAGGGTCTTTGACATGCTTCGGTTTTCTGAGATCAAGTCGAATAGCTCGCAGTCTGGCATGTTTGTAGCCTGTGAGGGTAGAAATGTTTTAGATATCATTAGTGACAGTTGAACYGATRTTCAGTAGTTCTTTTACCAAAAAGTTGAAAACACSAAAGGAGTTSCMCAGAGGTTTCTCTCCTGTCAAAATCCCTACTTATAWTATGCATTAGTTWTTGAATTATCATTCACTAACCTTGCTGTATAGCACATCTAACCAAAAGTTCGCCACCTTTGCTACTGCTCCATAGACCTCWTCCAAATTCCCACCATTYAAAAATTGTTCAAAGACAGAAGACTGGAAATTCTTGATAAGCTGGAGTTCTCCTCTTCTCTTAACCTCAAAACCCTTCAGTTCTGCCAGAGAACCATCATCATTGAACACTGCATATCTATGGCAAAACATAACAAGTTGATATAGAGTTTAAGAATGCTGTAAGTTATAAGTGTATTGCTAATTGAAGTGTGGTTTACAGTATGATAACCATCGTTCCTAGCTCTGCTGCTCTAACTGTTCCACTTCTGAATGGCTTCAAATACCTTTTCTTGAGTTTCTTTCCTTCTTCTTTCGATGCAGGTAAAATCATTGCTTTRTAAGGTCCATCYACCTGTACAGTTAAGCCAGAATAAAACATTGATCAATCAAACATGACTACTGACTGCCTTTKAACTCTTACCTCAAAAAATATCGAGTTCTCACTCCTCATTTCATAGGTTAGATTATCTGGATTTGTCAACTCGTGGTATTGATCATTGGTAAAGTGGGTCTGAAAATTAATGTAATGCACTTAGGAATTGTTTATGATTAAAATATTTARTGCTCAGTCTGAATCCTAAACAGAWTTAACYATACAATAATATTATTGTTGGAATTTCTTTTGTTTTAGTTGTTTATGGAAGCTAGTGTTATGTTTATGAAATATAAGATACAAAAAGTCTTAGCTTGTTATGCAAGTTGGAAGTTTGGAGTCGATATTTCTCAAATGACATAGCTTTAATAGATGTCTCTAGCCGTACCTTGACCATTATATTCAACATAGCACCAGGATAGGACACAGTGACCTTGCTCTTCTTTGGGTTAGTAGTCTTGACCTATACARAAGACAAACAATAATTCAATACAAACACAAATATTGCACTATTAACGAGAATTATTCACTTAGTTCCATGGRARGTTGATTGCAATAAAATCATTGATGTTTTTACCTGATAATTCTCAGGGAAACTTGCTGGCAAGATGCACCAAATACCATCAGTATCCAGTTCAAGAGGTCGMCTGCAGAGACAAGGTACACAAATGAAGTGCCACTATTAATAATAAACATTTTGAAACTTAWATCAAATCAGATATTATTCTCTTCTTTATCTGTAGAAGGTTTGTTTCAATATTCAACCTACTCGAATACAATAATAATAGAATTGCTGAATTTGATTACACACACAGGACACCTACAGTATCCTTTGGCTAAAAMTTTAGTGCAAAGCAGACAACATTTAGCAGTGCAGTCAAATCTGACTAAGATTCMTACTCCTCTTTTCCATTCTTTCATCAAATACATGTATGTAAATGTTAGAGTATTGGGGGGGGGGGGTTAAGTTATATAGTCAACTAACCCTATTTGTTCAACAATTTCCCTTGCTTGRGTGATGATATTGGCTCCAGTATAACAAACAATCCCTGCCATCTCCATCGAGTACCACCGTGCACTGAGGGTGACAAAACAAAATATGAAAACCAGTACTATAYATCATAACAAATGAAAAAAACCTTACCCTTTTCTCATAACATAACCATAGAAAGAGTTCAGAATACACTTGTGGGCAAGTTGTAGTGAATCATAAAGAACCTCTTTTGCTTTACAGCTGTGAATAACACAAACAATAAAAATTATATGAGATGATAGTCACCACTCACAAAAACTAAAAGATCTAGTTACCGTCAAAACTTTACCTTTTTATTTCCTCAGCATCTCCAGTYTGCTGAGCAGCACCAAGTTTGCGCTTCCAGACCTGACAAAAGAAAAACAAAATAGCCTTTAGAGCAGTGTTTTGCCTTATTTGAGGGATGACAAGTTACAAACTTGAATTTGAACTTGGCATAAAAGTAAAAATAAGAGGAAAAATATTCAATATACATGTATAAATGACTTGYAAACAATTAGGGATCTTCCAGGTTTCATAATTGGATGGCTATCAAAATAAAATGACATGTAAACAAATAAAACAATATAACTKTACAGCACTTTTACCTTGAGTAAACCTTTGAATTCATAACGTCTATCCCTAAAAGCTCTGACAGTGTCCACATAGAAGGAATTCTCACGTTGACAAATTGTAGTTTGCCGTTCTTCCAGTCTTGTGATGCGGACTTTTTTGTATGCCTTATGACAATAGTCTATAAACACGACAATGGACAAAAAGCTATTAATCTATTAAATCTATTAATTAAGATTCTCCTTTAAAGAGAATAATAACTAGTAACAGTAGTGTTATCAATATTTACCAGAGAGTCGTTTCTTTTCTAGCTGTGCTTGSTCTGCAGGAGTCAAGGAATGAAAAGTCCGTGRTGGATCACCYKGTTTAAGTCCAGGAATTTTTTCTACTTCTAACTGTTGCCTGATTGTTTGAAACTCATTACGAGAAGCAGGCACTGGGAAACAAAAAACAAAGCACAAATGAGWWAGTAATAASCAATAAGTCTTTCTAGTAMCATTAGTGTMTATACACTCACTGTATTCTCCTCTCCAGGACCATGTCATGCTTCTTTGACACCTTKCTCCTGGCTTGTTGAAGTCACAAGCTGCACAGGTTTCCTCATCAACCATGGCTGAAGGCTACAAAGTTCAAAATAAACAAATGAAAATAAAAATGAATATATTATCTAATGTTATGTGAAAGGAAATGCCCTTAGAAAATACAACATAATTGACAAGATGACTGCATCAGAATGGGCCACTGAGAAGCCAAAACAGTATAAAAACAGACATACAGGAAAAGGATAATTGAAAAGGATTTAGAAGAAAAAGYACAGAAATCTTGTCTAGAGGGGACGACTGGTCTGGCAGACAAGGATGAGATGGACAGCCTTACTTGACATCTTGTACATCTCAATGTGTGAAGTAGATAAGTAAGGGAGGATCTCATTTATTGATCATCTATTTATTTTTCATACATTCACTACATCGTGTTACCTGTAATCTGTTGGTGAGGATGATGTTAGGGTACATGGCACCCACGTCAAGATGGTAAATCATAGGGTTTTCCAAACGCGCTGGTGTATCACGTAAAGCTGCCAGTTTAGATTTTATATCGTCGCATATCTAAAGCAAAAMCACAATATCTTGTCAAAAAAGTACAATATAGATACAAAGTAGAGTAAAAGCAAGAGATATACCTCATCAAAATTTAAAACTGTTTCCATTGGGATTTTTTCCTCTCCTTCAATGGTGTGCTTCATAGTTTTTTCTACATTGTCAATCAATTTTTGAAATGCCTCTGGAACCTTAAACAAAACAAGCAGTATGTAACATTATTAATAACAGTGCATTATTAATATATTCACATCAATATTGAGTAAAACGTACAAGCCTAAATCTACAWGGAATATCACTCCTGAAGACTCCAGATTCAATTGCCTCAACGTGACCCCCAACATAAGTTTCTGAGTCTAGAACGTGGCCATCATTAGTGAGCTTGTTGAATACCTAAAACAACAAAGAACGGTAAAWTTTTTTAATGGAAAAATCATACWCTATTTTGATAGTGGAAACATTACCTGTTCTTGCTTGTTGGGGAATATAATATTGACATGGAATGCTTGGACCATCAAAAGAGCCTCACAGAGGGTTCCTGAMCCTTTTCTGAGTACCTGGAAAAAAACAAACCATAAAGAACGGGTTGTAGTTTGTTTAAGAAAGAAAGTGGTAGTGTTAATCATATGAATGACCAGGAATACCAAATAATGAGCTTTCCTGGAAACCAATTTTTGGTTAGAAACAAAATTCCACTTGTTAAAGCTATCACAGTACATGTATGTCAATGTAACGGCGTACAGTGTGTTTACCTCATCAGGTTCTAAAGGAATAATTGTACACAAGGCAAAAATGAAGGGATGTACATATTTCATGTACAAATAATATGTAGCCACAGCATCAGAAACAGAATAGTTTGCAAGCTCCTACAAAAAAAACAACACAATCATGTTATCCATCAAATCACTGCACATGAAGCACAARCACGATGACCATGCAATACTAACTACAGCAGAATGAATTGAGTTTTCGCGGTATACAGAATAAGTGATTAAATAAATCATTTATCATCATCATCGTATACCCCTTTACAGAGAATTATCTCCTACTAGGTGTGCGTTCATAAAACATTTAAAGTTCTCTCTGTCCATTATCTGGCGCCTAGCCTGCTGCACATCCATTCCAAACAGTCTTTCTAGCCTTGTCCACTTTGGGGACCGCTCATCAAATAACAACTCCTTTGTGATTCACAACAAACATAATAAACTGTCAAATTACATGYMTCATCATTGCTTCCATACCTGAGGCTGTTCACTTGCCATTCGACACATCTCTTCTGGATCTAGTTCTATGGGGTCATATCTTAGCTTTGCCTTAAGAATATACAAAAATCAATTAAGATAATATTCAAAAATTGATAGTTTTCTTTTTCTATTCTGTGAATAACATTATTTCTATTTCTAAGTGCTGACCTTCGTTGTTGCTTTCAAATTCTGGCTTCCAACTGGTAGATAACTATCTCTCTTGACCCACCTAAGTTAAAATAATTCATGATACTTTGTAAACACAAAATACAATGAAGCCAAAATGGTAACCATAGGAGTCCTACAAGAAAACACTATTTTTGTACCTGAAAGCATCCATGTGAATGGCTGCTCTGCACTTGTATTCTCCCATTGAATCCTTACTAAAACCTTGAAAACATCACCAAATTTATATCTCATCATTATCACTGTATATATATCAGCGATGGGTTGTATGCTTGATAAATCGTACTGTCCACCAGATAAATCCTAATCCAGCAGACAAAATCCGTCCAAAATATCTTTTGTATACCCAGACCCAGTATAATGGCTATATTTTCCATATGTTTTAGAATTGTTTACAAAAAAACTGAATCCATTCAAATAAACATGGACAAATTTTCAATACATCAGTAATTATAACAAATTCTCACCTATTTCTTCCAGCATGTCAATGCCATGATGAACTGCACGAGCTTCTACAAATGGCCTATAATAAAGAAGTTGAGAGTAAAAATATTTAACAAAATTGAGCATTTGGATCACAATTAAATGTTTTCTTACCAGTCAAACAAGTCACCGTTGTATGTCACAAATATGTTTGGTTTTACTTCAAGAATATGCTCAAAAAACCTTTGTAAAAGAGAAGCCTAAAAGCAAAGCATATTGGTGTTAACATAAATGGTAAAATAGACCAGTTTGAACCATGGCATCTCACCTCGTCTGGCTCATTTAACACAGTAAACTGTCCTTCGTATTCTGGTTTAGGGGTGTATTCAAAATCTTCAATATCTTCTGATACAATCTCTCTGTTTATGATCAAAAAACCCTGCAAGAAATTGTGAACTAAATACAATTTTATATCCTACATAGTGAAGCATAGGCACTGTATTTTGCATTATGCCTTGATGTACAAAATGGTGCACGTAATATTGCCTTTTATGACACAATTTAATAAGTTTATCGTATGGTATTTACATCACTTTTCATGCAGAATTTACATGCATTGTACCTGTGCATCTATCATGTATGAAATCATCATGATRGAATCGTTAGCAGCATCAGGGAACTTAAGTGGCAGTTTAGTCGTCTCAATGTCAAATGCCAGCACCACTGGATCCTAAGTCAAACAATGCAAAAATTGATTTATGTTTTTATTAAAGGCATTATATCATTTGAATATCTTGAAATAGACCCCTTGTAGTTCATGGGAATGTAGCTCCTACTGGAATGCAAAACAATGGATTCTAGTTCCAAGAGGACAAAATGTTTTTGTTTTATCCTCCAGAAGAAGCTGCTTTGACATCATTTGCAAAGGGACCATATAACTCACAGGTCTGTCCAAGAGGTCATCTCTCCTTTTGATTTCTGGGTAAAGTCTGCCTCTAACTTTGACGTCATACCAATGACCCTGAAAAAATGAATACATGAATAACAGAATCACCAATTAAATTTTTCAGTGCTGACAATTTCTTACCACATGAATTTTTTGGTCAATGGCGACTCTRACATGATAAGGGACATCATACTCTCTGAAATACAAACAACAAAGCATAATTCAGTTTTTTTTTCCTAGTTGAGGTTCTGATCCATTCACTGAATCTTTACAACACATCATCATATCTCTTCACATAGAGCATAAATAAATAAATAAAGTCTTTTATTTTAAGAGGGTAGCACGTAATAGTCTCTAGACTTATAAACTTGTGGCCCTCTATATATTCACTCATACTCACTACCTCAACATTCATTATTTTACTACACAACACTCCTCACAGCTAGTTTTTGACTGACGGAGGAAAACCAGCGGACCTGGAGAAAACCCTCGGAGCAAGGAAGAGAACCAGCTTACAAACTCAAATCACATATATTCCCGGACCGGGATTCAAACCAGGACCACAGCGGTGATAGACCGGCGTTTTAACCACTCAGCCATCATTGCTCCCCATAAGGCCCATAAGGCCACTAAACACCTTACATGTACATCCTTCATTTTTTTTTTCAAAAAGAGAAATACCAATCAATGAGAATAAGCTGCCACCAACCTGATATCAATAATATTRTCTTTTTGGTCGGCTATTTTCAAGTTTGAATCAGAATCCACGTTGTTCATGGCTGACATAACATTGTAAGTAGCATTAGCTTTTTCTTGTTCTTTGTTTTTACGCACCGCTGGCATTATCTCACTATATCAGAGAAAATAAATATTTGGTTACTAAACAAAACATGTACATATTTCATTCCTCAATCATACTGCAGCCTGGGATTGGCCACAAACTAATATACATTGTATTATTTGATATATAATGGTTGTAATGTACATACAGTTTTCACATTTGTGCTTGTATATTAACATATTTAGCTATTTGTCTAGCTTAACAGTTGTATCATGGCTTACCGTTTGACCTTCATAAGATCATTGACATTGTTAAATGACAACTTGATGTAGTTTCTTTTCAGTCCAACAAGATGATTTTGCTGCAGAATAATTGGAAAATATTATTAACCTCAAATCTCTACACATTGTCGTGTACATTCTACACGACAGCAAGATCAAACTAATATGTTTTAACCTGGTCTGTACATGGACCGTGGAATATATTTTAGTTTGTAGGAGCTAATGATAACTGAAAGCTGTCAGATCGACCAAGTAGAGGGGACAATGAATTTTTGAAATTTTGAACCTTGGAAATRTGATTTCCAGCATTTCCAGGTGGTACTTAAAACATATTTTATACCATGAAACTAGGAAAACATTACTTGACACTGCCAAAACGTATCAATATAGTGTTCAAAATAATAATTTATTGAGAACCAACTGTCCCAACTGCTCTGCTCTTCTTTGCTATATAATATGTATGAATGTCATTTTAACTTGAACAAGCCTTACCAAATCAAGGTCCTCTTTTTGGACAGTCTCTATCTTTGCAATAAGACCTCCATGTTTTCTATTTAGGTATGTTGCTACYTCTCTATCTGTATCCTATTAAGGATATTATTATAAGATATTATTGTGAAATAAAAGTAAAATAAGTATCAAAATACAATTATGTACAATGTTTCTTAATATCAAACCTTTTTGGCGAGAATATAGAAATATGGCTTAAATGGTAGCGCAATCTGCAAAATAAAAAGAATTTTATAATTCCAGAAGTGAAAAATTTAAATGCCTACATAYATCAATGTCATGTGTCAAACCTAACTGTTGCAAATAGCAGACTCACCCTAAATCTATCACCATCATCTTGAACRAAGTACAAATCCACAGCACTAATAAGCTTTTTATCATCATCTAATATTTCAGTCTAAAATGAAAAATACATGTGCAGTATAAAGCCRTTTTCCAGTCATGACCTTTTGGGCTTTTTTACATCATTGTTTAAATATAGAATATTATGCAATTATACAAATATTTCAATGAATTTTTAATTTTAGCATTTAGAAATCCTTATAATCCTTGTAGCTTACCGGATGCATGTTGATGAGCCAWCCAAGCTTTTCACTAGTATCTTTATGTTTTTCAAAGCCATACTTATTGTCCATTGTCTCTTGCTTTTGAATACGAAGAACCCTGGACTCCACAGATTGACCATCATCAGACCTACAAATATARACATTGATATTAACTTCAAAATCTGAAATTCAAAATAAATATACAAAAAACCGTTAACTTACAGAGTGTATTCAGTCAAAATGTCAGTAAATACTATTTTGTAATAATATTCTGTACTAGTACTTTTGTTTTCTTTTGTTCCACTAGCACTATTTTGCACTATTATTATTTATAACTATTGTGTKGCGCTTTCACTGAATGTACTCTATCTTCATAATCAAATATTAAGACTTAAGCTAGCGCATAATGCTTAGACTTAAAAATATTAAGCTTAAAATTATCAAACTAGTTGTTATTTGCTGTTTATATGACTGGTAGCACAACAAATGACAATATTGTAAGCTTAAATGATACAAATGGAAGATCGRAGCATAAACTCAACTAAAATTGACACTCAAAAGTTGTGATCCTTGGCGATCTGCAATCACTTTTAGGTATAAAACGTCCTATAATCATGTCCATTTTTACCTTCCCGTTTGATCTTTTCCACTCTTGCCAGCTCCATCGTCATCTTTTCGCTTCCCTGTGTTCATCAAAACCATTCTGGAACTTTCAACAATGCAAATCAGTATTTTATGTCCATAGTTCCATTTCCATCTTACGGGAAGACATTTTWTTTATTTTTGGCGGGAAATCCGGATCGTGCACTTTGTAAGCAATCCGCTGACTGACAAAGGAAGCCCATCGCTAAGCAAAAACCGGCACCCGACGAGAAAATAGATTGGTCAATTATGCTGAGAAATGACATGTAAAAAATAAAATGAAATAATAATAGTAATAATTTAAAAGCAAAAAAAGAAGAAAACAGCAAAAAAAAAAAAAAAGAAAAAAAAAAGAAGAAAAATTCCCGGGTTCGATCCGGCTCCAGCTAGTGAGGATCGGATTTGTAGGCAAAGCGCTTACGAGCTGCGCCACAGTGCCACGGTCATTTACATAATAATAGACCAGTTGACACTTTCACCGAATAGACTACCCCAATTTGACATTAAACTTTCGATAGTTGCCTAGTTAGTGCAAGGGGTTATCCATCAGTGTCTAGGGGCCGGATAGCTTCTCCCTCACTGGCTTTTTAGTTAGCGCGAAGTTAGGACCAATTATCGGGATAGCATGGAAGAGCCGAAATCTCTAACCGGAATGTAAATCGATTCGACGCCTCAGCTTCACAGAATGTCTCGGGGGAATCGTCCCAACCTTTTTCGATTTTGTGGTCATGGGTTCGAGTCCCAGAGTGTGTGGCCTCTACCTTTTCTCATTATTATATTGTTTGCTTGTCTGTTTATTCTTCTGCTTTTTTACAACATTGCTATTTCTATATATAGCAATTTGAATTATTCATACAAATTTAATTTCTTAATATATATCTATAGTTCTGATTTGTTCGCGATTGGGGATTATTATTGATTTAAAAATTAAAACAATACATTATTATTAATATTATCAATTAGWTTAAAATCATATAATTTGAGCTCTATGAACATTCAGTTAGGCCAGGATCAAACGCTGAAGAAGTTAATTCACTTTTAAGAGATTCGTGCTAAATGATAGTTCAATGTAACTGGGTGATTGATTTGCGACCAGGCCTGCATATGAATTCGCCAAGGTTGTAAGCCAGTGAGCCCGTGTATTTTGCTATGCGGTCATATTTGAAAATGTAGATAAAGGAAAGGGAAAACCCGCAACTCTCCTTCCAGTCAGATAAACAGTATAGTACAAGTCGCGTTAAATTTATTTACATAACTAAACAAAATGATTATAGGATTAAACCTTTAAGAATTGAATGCTCATATGAAACATTTTCCACCTTAAATACACACGTGTTTTTCAGAAGGGAATTTAGTCGATCTTTTTTCACGATGGAATTTTGTTTTGAGTCGTTTCGACATAAACAGAAGCTATCAAGCCATTACACGAAAAACCCCGGTCACCGTTCTAGCTCTCGTTGTAAGGTCAAAGCTAGTAGATGTGTAACCGACCTGTTACATAACGTCAAATCGTCGAACACGCTTGCGGCTTATTGCCGAAAATGCGACAAAGGATGAACTACGACAGTTGTTTGTACCACAAATAACAAACGAATAAGTGGACCTAACTAAGCTGCTCTAGCTCTTCCAGTGATGTTGTAGATACCTCAAAGCTTAGAGGAAACAAGAGCTAAGAAAAAGGATTTGAAATGGTTCCTCCTAAGATACTTTTTACTTGAACATCCCTTCTGACGACCTTCTGAAGTCTTCGTGAAGTCGGCCATTGCTTCGCATGCAATGGAGAACCCGCGTGGAACACAGAACAATTATTTTTATCAGGGAGGGGAGTCCCGTGGTATTAAATAAAAAAATTATTTGTTATTTCATTTTTAAGATAAAAGTTCTATTTCTATAACAATAAATATTTGATTGACATTTAAAAGCTATTTTATAAAGATTTTCAATTTCTCTTTGCGTTTTAGCTTCGATTTTTCGGATAGAATAAAATGACAGGAAGCCTACTCCACTGGGTCGAGTTTTGCTGTGCAAATTCCTCCCGTCGGAGGGTTATGTTTACAACATAAGCTTGTCAGCTTTGCGCTGATTGGCTAGTCGCATTTTCTCAAATCACCCAGAAAACACAAGAAGGTATCAGCAATTTAGGCTCAGTATCCAAATGATCGTCGAACCCAAACGTGTTTTACCATCAATGTAGTTTCTCAGAGAAGAAGGAGAAAAATGCGTTTTGGGGTGGTGGGACAGTTTGACCAGTCATATGCATGCGCATAAGAGATTGGAAAGTACTGGTGTAATTTAGCGCTAGAGAACTACGGAAAAAGTGTACGATGCAAATGAGTTAAACAATGGTACGGCAAAGTTCCTATAGCTAATTCAACGTTTGACCCGAGCATTTGGGTGGTTTCTGCTTGAAGCGTGCTTTTATTTTGTACGTTTTTCCCTATCGTTTTGCTGCACCACTATTACATTTTGACTGGCCGTACATTATACTTTGTTTGACCGGTTTATGAAAACGAATTAAATCGGCATTTTAAGAACACCAAGCACCACAGCAAGATAAAAGAAGAATCCGATAACAATGGCACACCACGACAGTTGGCCAGATAATTTACTGTATCGGTATGACAGCTGGTATTCACCACGCCTACTTGCATCACGTGCCTGTAATGAAGAAACGCGATTGGTTAATATACATGTTAAGCACGTCACCTCTCCCATGCATCAGTACTTTCGGAGAACAATGCGTCCGCCATCTTGAAAAGTGAGACCCGAATCACC